ACGATCCTGGCCAATTTCGAAGTATACATTCATCTGAAAGTACAATGCCATCCAATTGCAAAAAGAAATGAATGAACTTGAGAGGAAAGAGAGGGAAAGAAGAAGAAGAAGTGAGAAAGAAGAAGATGATGATGTACTCCAGCATAGACCAATGTCAAGGCTCTTCTTCTTCGCCAACCAATCCCTTCCTCCTTATCTCCTCCCCTCTTATTCAAACAAGAAATAACAATAATAATGTTGACTGACTGAACCAGAATCAATGTCCGAATCCCACTTCTACTGCAGGCATAACATGAGGTCCACCATAGCCATGGCAACCCTTCCTCTTTCTCTACATACAGGCCGAGGCTATGGCGGACTACTGAGGCTTCAGCCTCCTGTCCAAAGGACAACCCAAAGCAGCTATGCCGCTGCCCCACTTCAAGGTCATCACCATGCAGCTATGCCGCTGCCCACTCAGCCACCATGCCTGACTCTGTCCCGAACTTCATTGATGCGGCACTACCCCCACTGGGGCCTTCCTGATGCAGCGCCTAGCAAGGAGATGAAGATGGTGTTTACCATAGCCAGTAAGTGCCTCGCCACTCTCCTCCTTGGTCCCCTTCTCCTTCCTCCTCCTACCGGTAGAGCTCCCAGCAGCATGTCGCCAAACTTGCACACTGAAGAATGAGGCTGGGCTCTCCGACTGGCCTCTTGATATAGCGGCCTACTTGCCTCCTGGGCGGTGACTTCCAGGCCGCTCGGCCTCCCCAAGCAACCGGTACTTCCTCCGTTTCGGAGGGAAACATCATTGCAGACCCCGATATTGCCCGTACAGGCTCTAGACTCAGACTGGTTGGACTGGTACCGGCCTAGACCTACCCTACCGCTACTGGACTCTAAAAATGCCAACTTTGTCTTCCTCTGCTCAGCCTCCAGTACCCCCCTCATGCCAATTGCAGTGGGGTGCAGTATCGGCCTACCTGCCCACTTGAGTGTTTTTCCGCTACCCCAAGGGCCGCGGGGCCGCTAGCCTCGCCACTTGAGTGTTCCCCTTGCTGCAACCCTCAACGCCACGGCCACAGGTAAGTACCGGCCCTATGGGCCTGCCAAACGAGCAAGTACCCTTCCGGGTCACACACACACTCAGGCAGATAAGCACTCAGACAGGCATGCAAGTCCACAGGCACGCACGCACACAGACTTAGAAAACACAGCAGAATGCGGGAATCTCAGCAAGGCATCCATTCCATCAGCAGAACTTCAGAAATCAGCAGTGTTCTCAGTCTGTTTTATGACGGGTCATTACAATAAGGTGAAGATGCGAAATTCTAATCTAATTTGAAATACGAAACGTTAATTATTTAATATTTACTTTCAAAAAGGAAAATGTAAATTTTCAAAAATAAAGAAGTTCAATTAATTTTAATGTTCAAAATGGGAGAATAAAGTATTATAAACTTTTGTCGATCAATAGGGGTATCACACGGAGGGGGGGGAAGGGCGAGCGGAAGCGAGGTTGGGCAGTGGGGGCGGGGGTGAGATCAGCCGC